CTTATTAATAGAATCATTTCTTCAAAGAGGCAAAGCAGAAAGATTATAGTTTCTTGGTAAGAAAAGAGAATAGCATGATGGTATTGGTTATATCTCAGAGAAATAAAAGGCTGTACAGTAATATTAACACTACTGTTATTATTAATAATATTAATTATTAATAAAGTGAATACTAACAGCAGTTAACATTTATTACTTACTATGTGCCAGGCACTGTACTCGGTTTTTTTATATGCAATCTCACGTACTTCTCATAACAACCCTCTGAGGTTGCCTTTCATTTTACAGATAGGGGAAACTCAAGCTCAAAGAGACTGAGTGCTCTGCCTCGGGTCGCAATGGTGGACGCAGGCAGTCTGAACCCAGAGCCCACGCTCTTAACTACTATGCTCTACTGCAGTTACACGTCAACTTTTTTTTTTTGGGGGGGGGTGACATGTCAACTTTTGACAGATACCAGTTACTCTCCATAAAGGCTAAACACACGCGCGCGCGCACACACACACACACAGAGTGAATGAGAGTGCTCCTTCCTCCCCAAAATTGCACTGAATATTAATAAACTTTTAAATTTTTGTCAATTAATTGGGAAAAAAGGAATAACTTATTTTAATAAGGTTAAGCATCCCTTTATTTATTGGTCATTTATATTTTTTTTTCTTTTGTGAACTGTTCATATCCTTTGTCCATTTTGAGTTAATTATCTTATTGATTTGCAGCAGTCATTTACATTTTGGGTATTATATTAATATCTGGAATATAGATAAATAAAGAAATGGAGGAAAATTAGCTAACTATTAAAAAAACTTAGATTACTACTTCACATTTTACAAATAAAGCAAATTCCAGATGGATTAAAGATAAAGAAACTATAAAAGCATAATTCTTTCTTAAGCTAATCTGTCAGTTTCTTGATATTAATTTGTAGAAGTTGTATATTTACTCTGAGGAAAAAGTAATTTGAATAGTAAATAGGCATAACTGTGCAGTATAACACGACTGTGACAAATCTGTGTCACTGAAAGTAACTTGAAAATTATGAACGTCAAATTTATTAAGTAAAAAAAGCAAGTTATGAAATAATATTTATGATTCCATTTTTATAAAAGCAAATACATTAAATATTAGCTACACTAGGACATACTAAAATGTTAACAATGGTTATTACTGGGTGGCTGGAATTTGTGTTAGAAATATTAAATACTGTTTTTAAAAATGCATTGTGTTTGAAGATATCCCTCCCAAAAAGACATAAAGATGGTTAAACTTCTGGAAGGAAGGGACTGTGACTAATTCACTTTTGTATCCTTCAAGTGCACAAGTGTCCTATACATAATCACCACTCAACAGATATTTGTTGAATGAATGAAATGAAGGAAGGAGGATACAAACATCAATCTCTCTATTAGCTACTTAAAAAAACACCAAACCAAACCTGTTGCCATTGAGTCAATTCTGACTCATAGCAACCATCAGCTACTTATGATAATCAAATCCAAAATCTTTGCAGGAAAATCACATTTGTTCTCCAAGTAACATTTCATTCATAACTTTAATTTAAAATTAGGAAATGTTATGCTTTTAACAAACAAGAAAGAAATATAAGACTTTTAATGTGTACGAGCTGGGGTGCGGTGAAGGTGATATGAGAAAGTAATCTTACAAATGATTTATTTTTGAAACAACTTAGGCAAATATAAAAGCTCATACTGAATTCTCTCAGATGCAAAGATTATATCTGATTTAGGCAATATGTTATTTATACTTTTAGAGTATCTACTATGGGCATATAGGCAAGGTTCTGTGTGAATAATAGAGACATAAATACTTATAAAGACCTTACAATATGACTTTAAACACACACTCTGCTCATACTGTTAACTATACTAAAACATACAATAAAACTGTAATAATTAAACGAATGTGTACAAGCACAGGACGAGACAAATGGATTAAAACACAAATATTCCAAAAATCAACCCACACCTTATAGAAATTCAGTATATGATAAAGATGGCATTTCAAAGCTGTGGGGAAACAATGGACTAATTACTTAGCAAACAGTATTGGATAACTGGCTATCTAAACAGCAGAAAAAGTTAGATTTCTATCATGCATCACACATACAAAGACACTGCAAATAGATGAAAGAGCTAATTAAAAAGAGAAGAAAACATAGGAAGATATTTCATTAATACTGGGATAAGAAGGTCTTTTTAAACAAGACACAAAAATGCAGAAGCCATACAGAAAATATTGACAAATTTGACAACAATTTAAAAATTTTGTTCAATAACAGAAAGAGAGACAAGCAATACACTGAGAGAAAATATTTGCAACACACCTAACAGGCGAAGGATTAATACTAAAATATATAAAGAACACCTATAAAGCAATAAGAAAAATAAACAATTCAATAGTAAAATGGGCATAAACAATATTAATAAGCAATCAACAGAAGAACAAGAAATGACCAAACAGATCTCCAACTTTTATAGTAGTAATAATAACAACAACACATAATGGCTACTACGTATCAGGTACTTTTCTAAGTGGTTTAGATACCAACTCTTTTAATCTTCACAACAACCCTGTGAGGTGGGTACTATTATTTATCCCCATTTTCAGTTGATGAAATTGAGGTAGAGGTTTTAAAAGTTGCTCAGGGACAACAACCAGGGGTGCAGGGCTGGGATTCCAACACAGACAGTATATCTCTAGAGGAGTCCAGCCTCTTAAACACTATCTATATTACTTTTCCAGAGATCTAGGAATCCAGGGACATACACACTAAAACAAGATATCATTTATTGTCTAAATTGGGAAAAATAAAAAGACTGACATACTGGATGTGGGAAAATGAGAATTGCCAACACTGTTGCTGGGAGAGTATAATGGAGCTTTCCTACTGTAGTAATAAAATCATTCTTACAGAAAGTTCAGCAAAACAATGTACTCAATAAAAGGCAGCCAATAGTCAGTTTCTTACTAAAACATTAATTTTATTGTTTCTTGATGGTACTACCAAATCCTAAAACTCCTTCTTTCCTTTTCTCTCTTAATCCTCAAATACCAGTAAAAGCTACCAGAGGATGATCAATCCATTGCTCCCATGCTAACCTTTTCACGTGGCTGCTTCCCTTGTGCTAAAGGATTTTGTCAGCGCAGGTCAAACTTTCCATGAAAACCTGTTTCTAGATGCAGTAATGTCATCACTGAATTGGTAAACTCACTTTTTCTTTTAGTGGTTGACACAGGTTCTGTTTTCTACTATTTTCCATATCTGTCTCTCAGCTTCTTTCTCAATAGGTTCAAGAGCCAAGACTGAAGGTGACAAGCTCAAACTTTCCCTGTCTGCTTTGTTCAGCAGTCATTAAAAAGACCCTTTCTTGTTTTCAGCATTAAGTTAATTCCAATCAGACAGAAGTATTCTTTCTGAAACCTCTCAGCTCTCCACAGCCTCTGGTTTACTGTCTACAGCATACATGTTAAATAATATAAATTACTTAAGGGAAAAATAAAACTCATGTCAGAGCTTTGCTAACACTACAGTCATCCCTATCTACTTTACAGGCTTCATTATGAAGAGAAAGGTACATGGAGCCACATAAAAAAGGCTGTTACTAAAATTCACTATAGAAAAGTAATAAAAATTTATCATGAAGGGCAGTATGCAAAAGTGATACAGCACTCAATTAAAAAGAAAAAGCATATCAGGTCAGCTTCCATTTAAAAAATGTCATTTATACATCCAAAACTTCCTGTACCTGTTTCTCATTTTGTGTCCTAAAAATTACTACCAACTTGTCTTCTGATTAAGACCAAGTAATTCAAATTTGCAGGGGTGAAATGGGCACTGAGAAAACATAATGACCAGCTCAGAGAACTGTGCTTGACTAAACCTCCAGGGGGAAAGTCCTGAAGTGATGGCTACATTTTCAGTGAGAGAAATTTAAGACTGTTCCACACTGTATGGATTGGATGTAACAAGAGATTAAGGTGAGCAAGAAAATGTAAAATTGGCACACACAAGAATGTATTTTTTATCTGCAGCATATGGTTGCAGATAAACACTCCATGAAAACACGGGCTTTCTTAGTGCATTAAAGAGAGAAGGTGGTAAAAGTGATATCACAACAGGCCTGCGGCAATGATTTCTATACCCTACTATAGCCTACCGTATCCCCAGAGTTATCAAATCATTGCTGGACAGCTCCACCATGCCTACGCGTTTCCGAAACTTAGGAGCAAGCCAAGACACCTTTGCTAGGAGTCCCAGTGCAAACCTAAAGCGTATCAAGGTATCTCACACACAGTTTAGGGTCCTCATTTTTTCTGGAAACAAAACAGAAGAGCTGAGAGGAGAAGTAGTGACCATCCAATGCCTCAAAAGGCCAAGAGAGAGTTAAGATAAGGTCGATCTCGGACTTCTCCTGCCCACCTTCCTCTACTCCGGCCCTGGAAGAAGCCACAAGTGAGGAAGAGAAGTAACAAGGCGGGGGCGGGGAGGGGGCTCGGAGAGTCGAACACAAGCCTTCACATTTGTCCCACACTAGGTCACTCCCTCCAAGTCACCTTCCCAGTTCCCCCGTGGGCTTCCCGCCAACGAGGCTCCTGGGCTTCGAGGGGGCTTACCACGCCATCCACCCGCTGCGGGCCGCAGCCCCTGCCGACCTCGGGGTCCCGGCTGGAGCTCGGAACCCAGCGGGTCTTCACGACACCCATTTCCGACGCCTGGCGCCTCTGCCGGCCCAATTCCCGGGGCTCCCGCGCCTCCACCCCCGGGCTCCTATCAACGTCCCCTTCCTCCCTCAGGGCGCCCCTCGGCCCGCCTCCAGCGCCCGTCCTGCGGGGGGCCCGGGACGCCGTCCTGTGCTCGCCCCTCCCGCCGCCCTTGTCGGGTGCTCACTCGGCGCGGACCCGGTCCCGGCTGGTCTCCTCAGGGAGCGGCTGCCTCCCGGTCCTCCCGGCCCCGCCCCGCCCCACTCCCGGGCGGATACAGTTTGAAGCCCCTCAGGATCTCCTTGGCCCGCTCGTCCTTGGCTGACATGATGCGGCGGCCGCCGCCCGCGGCTGTCACACGCTGGCCCGGCGGAGCCTCGCAGACGATGCCGAGGAGCCGAGGAAGGAGCCGCAGCCCGACTGGAGACCTCGGGCGAACAGCGGCAGCAGCCAGATCCGGACCGGCCTCTCCCTCCTCTCAGCTCCCGCTCCTTATCCCTTCTCCTTCCCCCTAGCCTCCGAGCGCCCGCCCCGCAGCCAATGGAGAGCCCGCCTCGGCGATTGGCATCCTGATCAGCCAATAAAAAGATACAGCGACTTCGCAGGGTGACGGGGAGCGTCAGTGGGAAGAGACCTCTCGGGGAAGTCCCTTAGGACAAATTTTTTTTTTTTTTTTTTCACCTGGAGTTGTTGCCTGGAGTTTGCCCCAGGGGAGAGTTGGCTTCAAGGACTCCAAGGGCCTGCTCCCGCCGCTGGGCACACTAGGGCTTTGAGATGAAGGCCGGTTGCACTATGCGATGCGGCCGAGACTACATTTCCCAGCATTCCACGGGCGCTCCCGGGGAACCACAGATCCCAGTAAGCAACAAAGAGGCCCCCAGGGACTACAAATCCCAGCATTCCATGCACTCCGTTTCTCAGTAACTTAGACTCCAGCGTGCCCGAGTGTGCGCGAATACATAAACCGGTCATTAAGTCTCCCTAGTTTCTGAATCCGAGATTTGAGACCAGGCAGGAAGACCATCTTCACCTTGAAATGAAGACGACAGCCCACAGAAAGCTAACTTCTCTTTACATGGAACTCAGCATTCTCCTGCAAATCACGGTAAGGCTGCAAACAACAAAAAAAACCACACTGATTTAACCATGAAAGAGACCAACAAAATGACTGCTTCAAATTGTGCTTGTGTGTTGGTCTGGGGCGTCTTTTACTTGGTTTGCAGGGGTTTCTGGTGTGTTCATGCATTGGACTGGGAGATATATTGACTATAAATTCAGAATATCAATACAGTTAGGGACTTAAGAGAATTTGCTAATCCAACCCCTGTTGTTTTACATATGAGGAAACTGAGGCCCAGGAGGCAAAGAGATTGGCCATAGGTCATAGGAAGCTGGGACAGAGTTAGAATTGGCCCTGTGTCCAGAGCTGCATTAAAGCATGTGAGGGACCTAAACTCTGATAATCTGCGGTGCCCCTTCCTCTGTTTACTCACACAGTCTATCGGGATATGTGATTTATATTTATACATGGTGGAGCCCTGGTGGCGCAATGATTAAAGCGCTCGGCTGTTAACCAAAAGGTCAGCCTTTCAAACTCACCAGTCACTCCTGGAGAGAAAGATATGATACTCTGTTTCTGTAAATATTTACAGCCTTGGAAATCATATGGAGCAGATCTACTCTGTCCTATAGGATTGCTATGAGTCAGAATCCACTTGAGGGCCGTGGGTATATATACACGTATATATATACGTGTCCAAGCTGCACTGAAAGCATTGGCAAAAAACAAGGCTCCCAGAATTGACGGAATTCCAACTGAGATGTTTCAACAAATGGATGCAGCACTGGAAGTGCTCATTCATCTATGCCAAGAAATTTGGAAGACAGCTCCCTGGCCAACCAACTGGAAGAGATCCATATTTGTACCCATTCCAAAGAAAGGTGATCCAAGAGAATGTGGAAATTATGGAACAATATCATTCATATCACACGCAAGTAAAATTTTGCTGAAGATCATTCAAAAGCGGTTGCAGCAGTACATCGACAGGGAACTGCCAGAAATTGAAGCCGGATTCAGAAGAAGGTGTGGAACAAGGGATATCATTGCTGATGTCAGATGGATCTTGGCTGAAAGCAGAGAATAGCAGAAAGATGTTTACCTGTGTTTTATTGACTGTGCAAAGGCATTCAACTGTGTGGATCATAACAAATTATGGATAACGTTGTGAAGAAGGGAATTCCAGAACACTTTATTGTGCTTATGAGGAACATGTACTTAGACCAAGAGGTAGTTGTTCGAACAGAACAAAGGGATACTGCATGGTTTAAAGTCAAGAAAAGCATGCATCAGGGTTGTATCCTTTCACCATGTTTATTCAGTCTGTATGCAGAGTAAATAATCCAAGGAGCTGAACTATATAAAGAAGAACAGGGCATCAGGATTGGAGGAAGACTCTTGAACAACCTGAGATATGTAGATGACAACCTTGCTTGCTGAAAGTGAAGAGGACTTGAAGCACTTACTGATGAATATCAAAGACCGCAGCCTTCTGTATGACTACACCTCACATAAAGGAGACAAAAATCCTCACAACTGGACCAATAAGCAACATCACAATAAATGAAGAAGAGATTGAAGTTGTCAAAGATTTCATTTTCCTTGGATCCACAATCAACGCCAATGGAAGCAGCAGTCAGGAAATCAAATGATGCATTACATTGGGCAAATCTACTGCAAAAGATCTCTTTAAACTGTTAAAAAGCAAAGATGTCAGTTTAAGGACTAAGGTGGGCCTGACCCAAGCTGTGGTATTTTCAATCGCCTCATATGCATGTGAAAGCTGGATGATGAATAAGGAAGACCGAAGAAGAATTGATGCCTTGGAATTATGATGTTGGTGAAGAATATTTAATATATCATGTACTGCCAGAAGAACAAACAAATTTGTCTTCGAAGAAATTCAGCCAGAATCCTCATTAGAAGAGAAGATGGCGAGACCATGTCTCACATACTTTGGGCATATTATCAGAAGGGGCTAGTCCCTGAAGAAGGACATCATGCTTGGTAGAGTGGAGCATCAGTGGAAAAGAGGAAGACCCTCAACGAGATGGGCTGACACAGTGGCTGCAGCAATGGGCTGAAGCATAACAATTGTGAGGGTGGCGCAGGACTGGGCACTGTTTCATTCTGTTGTACATAGGGTTGCTATGAGTCGACTTGACAGCACCTAACAATAATGTGTGCGTGTGTGTCTTAGTTGTCTGTGATGTAACTTCTTTTTAAATATGACTATAATACTGAACGCAAAAGTGGTGTATGCCAGTTTAATGGAATGAGATGAACTAGATTATAAAATTTTGAGTGGATGCGGGGCAGCTAAGATTTATGCTACATACCACATTTTCTACAAACAATATTCCACATATTCTACAACAAAGAAAATAAGTCAGTTAACTTAGTTGTTTCAACAATGAATGTAAAATTCTGTTGATCACCCACAATGAAAAATTGGCCCATTAATTTTGTTTTAAACGGCTCATACTTCAATTTTGATGCATGTTTTATAATAAATGCTATAATTATAAAGAACAAATGAAAAAAGTCATAAAAGAAAATTTAATGATCAGAAAACAAATATTACAACAAATTACTATATTTTTATTTTTAGATAGATCTTTCACCTCTAACATAATTAAAAACGTTTATTTCTATTCTTTGCTCTTACAGATTCTTCAATGATTTCATCACAATTAAGCTGCTGAACAATGTCTACTTCCATACATAATAAGGATAATGAATTGAGTCTTTCTTGAATCATTGTTGTATGCTGAGGGTTTTTGAGTCTCTTCAGGGATGAAAATGAGCATTCTGTTGTGCAGTTGGTGACCATTAAAGTTAGAAATATGTGTAAAGCAATTTCAACATTGGGAAATACACATTGTATTTTATCTTCTATTATGGAATCATACATGCCTACATGAGTAAAATTTGTTTTTCCTAAATCTGTAAACTTAGTTCTCATCTAAGAATGAGATTATTGTGCTTCTTCATAAAGGTTTATATTTAAGTCATCAGGATAAGCTTGCACTAATTTCTTGGATGCCTTTATGCATTCTTCATCAGGTGCATCCATGTTGTTTAAGAAGGGAAATCTATTTGAAAGAACTTCACATACGTTGACCCTTCTTTTCATGCAAGATTCAAGTTTGTCAGGGATGGTGTAGTATGTGATTATATGAAATTGATCTCTGGTACTCAGCGATATTTCTGAGTACCAGAGTTATTTATTTGTTTCTTGCTAATGTTTCAGTCATTTATTTGTTTCTTGCTAATGCTTCTGCAACAGTGTACTGCTTGATAATCAGTATTCAGCAGAATTTGTTTTGTTGTGTTTTCAGTCTCTACTAAGGCCCTGTAACAAGCCAAAAGCTGTTTCTCAAAAGGAGAGTATTTATCTGCAGAAGATGGCAGGCTTTGCTCTAGGGAGCTGCCAAAGACTCCAAACAGCATCCCTATCTGCCACTGACACTTCAAACACCATTGATCAGCCGGATCATATGGCCTAAGTGGCAGAGCCGCTGGCATGGCAGCTTGAATCTGTTACAGAGCCTTCTTTTGGTCTGGGCCCCACTCAAAACTAGCAGCTTTTCAAGTCACTGGATAAATAGGCTGGAGTAGCATACCCAAATGAGGAACATGTTGCCTCCAAAATCCAAAGAGGTCCACTAGGCATTGTGCCTCCTTTTTAGTTGTGGAAGGAGCCAGATGCAATAACTTATCCTTCACTTTAGAAGGAATGTTGAGATATTTAGTATTTTCCTAAGTAGGGGCAGTTCTAATGGCTTCCACTTGGCTTTTCCTACTCCACCATTAAATGAAAGTGGTATCTCGACATGCCCCACACCACAGGACTCCTAGAAATTTCACTGAGGTGGAAGGCACCTCTAGCACACAAATGTTTTACCAATAAGTCCAGAGTCACTGACATTTCTTCCTTACTAGGTCCAATCTGCATGATGTCATCAATGTAATGGACCAGTGTGGTGTCTTGTGGAAGGGAAAGGCAACCAAGGTCCCTGTGGACTAAATTATGACAGAGAGCTGGAAAGTTGATATACCTATGAGGTAGGACAGTAAAGGTGTATTGCTGGCCTTGCCAGCTGAAGGCAAACTGCTTCTGGTGGTCCTTTGAAACAGGTATGGAGAGTATGGTGAAAAAGGCATTAGCCAGATCAGTAGCTGCATACCAGTTACCAGGAGATGTATGTATTAATTTGCTCAAGCAATGAAACCACATCTGGAACAGCAGCTGCAATTAGAGTTACTACCTGGTTAAGTTTTTGATAATGCACTGTCATTCTCCAAGATCCATCTGTTTTTTGCTCAGGCCAGATAGGCGAGTTGAATGGGGATGTGGTGGGAATCACTACCCCTGCATCCTTCATGTCCTTGATGGTGCCAGTAATCTCAGCAATCCCTCCAGGAATGCAGTATTGCTTTTCATTTAATATTTTTCTAGGTAAGGACAGTTCTAATGGCTTT